GCCGAGCAGGGAACCCGATGCGGGACTCGATCCAGGGACTCCAGGATCATGACCTGAGCCAAAGGCAGTCGCTTAACCAACTGAGCCACCCAGGCGCCCCTAAGCTCTACATTTCTTCATTTGCATCTTTAAAAGAGGTCAGCTGTTGTGTGGCATGGTCAGGAAATCAGGGCAAGGAGCCATTGGTCAGACTTCTCTCCCTTGTTGAAATCCCACTGTGTGTCTGCAATGGCCACTTGAGGTGTTTCTACTCCCATTTCTCCAGACCTAACTGATGTTCTGAAAAGGCATGTCAATTCACCACTTGACAACTAGTAGTCGATTAGTGCCTACTTTGTTTTAGGGGCTGGAGATACTTCACTGCAAAGGGAGAATAACATCCACGCCCTCAGGAAATGCACATCCAGCTACATTCAGCGCACGTGTGTAAATTTTGGAGTCTCCTTTCCTATCACCTAATGGAATTCTTGCAATAGATGAAAACTATTGCCCTTGTCTTTGATAGTCTTGTGTGTATCCTATAACAACTTACCTCGTATATTATCCTCATGGTTTGGTCATTTGCTTCTGGGACAGTCCACCAAAGAACTTGGAGGGAAAGTGTCTTTCTCTCTTTCTTCTTCCATTTCCCAAATAGTTTCTGAAATATGTACAAATTCTCTACATTAAAGAAAAAACAGGACTTTTATGGACTTTCTGTTCTGAGTTAACATTGATGCTTCTAATCCTGAAATATATACCAAGAAGCCTGAAATCAATGTAGATCAGTCACTTGGGCCAACATATGAAACAGTCAATTTTATTTGGAGAGATTTTCTTTATCTTCCCTCCCTCGCTCCCTCCCTCCTTCCCATCCCTCCTTCCCTCCAGAATGAACATTGAAATTATTCTGCCAAGAATATCTTATTTTCTGGAATCATTACAGGATCATGAGTTTAGTCCTTGAATAGACTTTGTGGAAGTTGGGTGAATTGTTCTGAATAGGCATGGAGTGATATTAGGAAGATGGCAAGCTGAAGATGAACATTACATAAGGGATAAAACTATCTGAATACAATATAAAAAGAGTTTATAGTGTTATGTTTCTAGGTCATTTGGAATTTCTGAGGTATTTAAGAAATTTGATTTTCTTTCCATCAATAAATATCTTATTTAGAGCTCTTTTGGTTGTGAGAGAAATCAATGTCAACTTATTAAGGAAAAGGGAGCTATTTTATAAGTGAGTATATTTATTTTATGACTTGCTAGAGAAATTAGATGTTTTCTCCCTCCTTCTCTCAAAGGGCTAGCAAAAAGCCAGCTCCTCTCTTTTGGAGGCCTGATGTGTCTGTCTATCCTTTGCTCAAGGAGAAAAAAAAAAGGATCCTTGGAAGTCAGTTATTGAGATAATTTATGTACAATAAAACTTGTCAATCTAAAGATACAATTTGATGAGCATTGGCAAAGACATGCAGTGTGTAACCACCACCACGATCATGATGTAGAACCTTTCCAGCATTCCCAAAGTTCTCGGGTGCCTCTTTGCAGTCAGTCCCCTCCTGCCACCTGGCTCCCTGGCTTCTCCTGGATGACCTTTTGTCATAGTTTTGCTCTGTGCAGCATTTCATCTAAATGCACCCTACAGTATCTATTTGCTGTGTCTGACTTCTTTCACTTAGCATTATGCTTTTGTGATCCATCCATGTTCTGGCATGTATCAGTTCTTCCTTTTCATTGCTGAGTAGTATTCTCTTGTATAGTTAAGTAGCAATTTTTAAAATCTATTCATCAGTGGATAGATATTTGAGTTGTTTCTAGCTTTGAATATAGTACATGACTTTGTGTGGCCTTATGTTTTCATGTTTAGAGAGTAAATACCTAGGAAAGAGGATTGCTGGGTCACAAATTAAGTGCATGTTTAATTTTATAAGAAGTTCTCAAACTTTCCCAAAGTGGGTATACCATTTTGCATTTCCACCAGCAATGTATGAGAATTTCAGTTGTTGCACATTCTTACCAACACTCGGTATCGTCAGTCTTTAATTTTAGTCATTCCTGTTAGCATGTAGGGGTATCTCAGTACAGTGTTTCCCCCAGTTTTATTGAGCTATAACTCACTTATATCATTGTATTAAATGTTTATAACATAGTGATTTGAGAAAAGTATATATTATGAAATGGTTACCATATTAAGTTTAGTTACCACCCATCACCCCACCTAGTTATAATTTTTTTCTTATGATGACAACTTTCAAATATACGGTACAGTATTTATTAACTATAGTTCTCATGTTGTACATTACATCCCTAGAACTTATTTATCTTATAACTGGAAGTTTGTACCTGTTGCCCATAGAAAGCAGTCAATTTTTTTTTTTTTAAGATTTATTTATTTGAGAGAGCGAGAATGAGAGAGAGAGAGAGTACATGAGAGGGAGGAGGGTTAGAGGGAGAAGCAGTCTCCTCGCTGAGCAGGGAGCCCAATGCGGGACTCGATCCAGGGACTCCAGGATCATGACCTGAGCCGAAGGCAGTCGCTTAACCAACTGAGCCACCCAGACGCCCGAAAGCAGTCAATTTTATCTGAGAGGTTTTGGTTGATCTTTCAAGGTTCCAAAATATTTAGAAGTAAGAGATGTTGCTTTTCATAGAAGATGAGAGGTAACAGAAGAGTACCCTACGGTCAAGACCATAGTGAAAAAACTAATATTAAAATGAGTTAAAGTAGTAAAACAATAAAATTTGAAAATTAGTTACTAGAGGTAGAACTGAAAGACCGTGTACTTCAGGAAAATTGCGAGAATTTTTCTGAGATGATGGAACTTTAAAGACATGCTTTTATATTAACTAAAGATATTTACAGTCGAAACTGCCCAAGTTGGCTTGATACTGTAACTTCTGTCACAGTATTTTAAATCCCCAAGGTATTTAGATCTCGGTGAAAATTTGATAGTTGAAGAATAACTGAAGTATTCACTTTATAAGGATACCTGTCACTCCCTGCATACCTTGAATTTAAGACAAAATCGGGGTGCCTGGGTGGCTCAGTTGGTTAAGCAACTGCCTTTGGCTCAGGTCATGATGCCAGGGTCCTCGGATCGAGTCCCACGTTGGGCTCCTTGCTTGGCGGGAAGCCTGCTTCTCCGTCTCCCTCTGCTTGCCATTCCCCCTGCTTGTGCGTTCTCTCTCTGTCAAATAAATAAATAAATAATCTTTAAAAAATAAAATAAGGGCGTTCCTGGGTGGCTCAGTCATTAAGCGTCTGCCTTCAGCTCAGGTCATGATCCCAGAGTCCTGGGATCGAGCCCCGCGTCGGGCTACTGTGGAAAATGTTCCTCACCCTAGAAGAACGTGACTAATCTTAATCTTGGTAAATGTACACTTGGTTCTGTACCTAACACTTATCAGTGGCCAGAAAAGGTCCAATACTCAAAATTATCCAACACAAAAGTATACAGTTTAACCCACAGTGTTTCCCAGACACGAGGCATAGTAGCCGTTAGCAATATCTTTTATTTTGCCACAATTTAAAGAACTTGACCTTTTCAGGTATGTGCTGAAGACACCACCAGATATTTCCTTCTGGAAAATAATACTTTCTCTTCAGAGCACCCTGATTCTTTTCACACACTGGAGGCCCTGGACGCCGACGGTGACCATTTCCTTTGCTCCTGTGAATTCCTGTCGTTCACTCAGGAGCAGCGAGCGCTGGTCCAGATCCTGATCGACTGGCCAGAGAACTACCGGTGTGACTCTCCGTTCTCCGTGCGCGGCCGGCGGGTTCGGGACGCGCGTCTCCCGGCCTCTGAATGCCACCGGGCAGCTCTGGTGTCTGCCATGGGCTCTGTCCTCCTCCTGCTGCTTCTGCTCACGGGGGTCCTGTGCCACCGCGGCCACGGGCTGTGGTACCTGAAGATGATGTGGGCCTGGCTCCAGGCCAAAAGGAAGCCCAGGAAAGCGCCCCCCTGGGGACCTCTGCTACGATGCCTTTGTGTCTTACAGTGAGCGCGATGCCTACTGGGTGGAGAACGTGATGGTCCAGGAGCTGGAGCACTTCGACCCTCCCTTCAGGCTGTGTCTTCATAAGCGGGACTTCATCCCTGGCAAATGGATCATTGACAATATCATCGACTCCATCGAGAAGAGCCACAAGACCATCTTCGTGCTGTCTGAAAACTTCGTGAAGAGCGAGTGGTGCAAGTATGAGCTGGACTTCTCCCATTTTCGCCTTTTTTTTTTTTTCTTAAGATTTTATTTATTTATTTGACAGAGGGAGACAGAGCGAGAGAGGGAACACAAGCAGGGGGAGGGGGAGAGGGAGAAGCAGGCTTCCCGCTGAGCAGGGAGCCCGATGCGGGACTCGATCCCAGGACCCTGGGATCATGACCTGAGCCGAAGGCAGATGCTTAACCGACTGAACCACCTGAGCCCCCCAGGTGCCCCCCCCTCCATTTTCACCTCTTTGATGAGAACAACGATGCTGACATTCTTATTCTTCTGGAGCCCGTGGGGGAAAAGGCCATCCCCCAACAGGAAGTGTTTGAGTTGAAGAATAATTCTAGTTTTTAAAATGGAAATATTCATACAGTGAAATATTCTCAGTTTTCAAAACTTCGTTCTAAGTTGAGTTAGAATTTTACTCTTATTTCCCACAGGCAGTATTAAGAACATTCTTCAAAAATTGCAGATGTTGGTGAAATCTTTTCAGAATAGAAAAATTTGAGGAATGGGCATTTGTGTTTACAAACGTGTATAAAATAGTGCAGGGAGGGGCGCCTGGGTGGCTCAGTCGTTAAGCGTCTGCCTTCCGCTCAGGTCATGATCTCGGGGTCCTGGGATCGAGCCCTGCATCCGGCTCCCTGCTCCTCACAAGCCTGCTTCTCCCTCTCACACTCCCCCTGCTTGTGTTCTCTCTGTCAAATAAATAAAATCTTAAAAATAAAATAAAATAGTGCAGGGATTATATTAGATTTTCATTAAGTGATTTTTGACAGATGTATTTCTTAGTATTTTATGTAACTATTACAAGGCGCTTTATATGAAAAAGACAGACTGAATTTTGATAACTTCATTTTAGAATTTCAGTCAGATGCTCAAAAATATAAATATCTACCATGAGTTATCCCTTCCCAAACACCTTTTCATATTCTGTGCTCATTTTCTAACCTTAAAAAATAAGCTTTATAGTGAGTTGTAGGTCTTATGCCAAAAAAAAGCAGACTGACTAAGGAGTCTTGGAGTGTGATCTGGGTTTGTCACCTAGCTGTGAGCCATGTGACTTAGGAGAAGTTCTCCAATCACTTGAGCTGAAGGTGCAATAATATCAGAACTATTTATTTCATGTGTTCTTGTGAGATTCAGATGAAAAGATATATTTGAAAGTGCTTTGAAAACGTTTACGAATCTTTACTGTACATAGATGACACTGGTAATAACTTGTGGGTAAATGATTTCTCCCTGACTTTGCCAGAACATTCTAATTGGCTTTGGGATACAAAGCAATAACATCAATCTAGGCATTTCAACTAAAGACATACAGAGACAGGGGCGCCTGGGTGGCTCAGTTGGTTAAGCGACTGCCTTCGGCTCAGGTCATGATCCTGGAGTCCTGGGATCGAGTCCCGGGATCGAGTCCCGCATTGGGCTCCCTGCTCGGCAGGG